GTTTGAACCACCAGCCTTCTGGTTAGCAGTCAAATGCCTTAGGCACTATGCCACCAAAGCTCCTTAATAAGTGTTCTTAGGAGAGGGAGCTCTGGTGGCATAGTCCCTAAAGCATTTGACTGTTAACCAGAAGGCTGGCAGTTTAAACCCATCAATCACTCCTGGGAAGGAAGGTTGGGCAATCTACTTCCGTAGAGATACCGCCTCGGAAACCCAAGGAGGAGTCTCTGTAAGTCGGATCCGACTCGATGGCAGTGTGTTTGCGTTTACAAGAGAAACACACACCCAAAGGGAAGATGGCCATGTGAAGACAAACGCAGCAATTGGAGGGATAAAACTTTAAGCCTAGGAATGCTGGAGACTGCTGGCAACAACCAGAAGCTAGGAGAGAGTCATGGAACAGAGTATTCTCTAGAGCTTTCAGAGGGAGTATGGTCCTATCAGCATTTTGATTTGGAACATGTAGCCTCCAAAACTGACAGAAGCAATTTCTGTTGTTCTCAGACACCAGACTTATGGTCATTCGCTATGGCAGCCCTACGAATCCAATATAGTCACTGCAAGAGACCCTCAGTCATCAAAAAACAAAGTGAGACCAATTTCCTGAGGCAGGAAAATGATGGTACTTATGAGAAAATTTTAGCAAGAGTTGAACCAAGAGACTATCTAATCACAGTGGTTAAACTAGTGGTGCAAACAGTTAAGCACTTAACTACTAGCCAAAACTTTGGCAGTTCAAACGCACATACCTTGAAAGACAGCTCTGGCAACCTGTTCCTGAAAGGTCACAGCCTTGATAACCCTATAGAGCAGTTCTCTACTCCACAGCATCCAAGAAGAATGGGTTAATGAGAAAATTCATTGACCCAAATAGCCAACTCCAAAGCATTTCAGTTAACTCATTTTGTATAATGGCTTTGAATGCCTGTTTTTAGTTTAAAAGTATAAAGGTAAAACTCCCATTCCTAGATTCCAAATAAAAGAATTAACATTTTATTCTATGCACACAGCCACCTTATGTCTTAGACGTCCCCAAACCAGCCCTGATTCCAATACTTTATCCCTTTGTCCTTGTAAACATTAAGAATCCCAGAAATCTGAATCAAACCACAACCCACTGCCAACACCTTAAAACTGCATAAAATACTTTATTAGCCTACCTAAGTGTCACAGTCATTATCTCAATTAGTTCCAGTTACTTTACTATCCCAGGAATCTGCAAAATCAGCCTTACTACTTTTTCCCCAGGAGCTATCATCTGAAAGAGAAAACTTAAAAGAACAAGTTACTAAAGCCAGTATTAGTATGATTTAGCATTATTGGCAAAAAATACATGTATCATTATTTCAATGTTAACAATACGGTGTTAATACTATGTTAAAGAATTGTTTCTCAGTTTGATACTTATGATTTCTAGTGAACTGTTTGAGAACCCTATACATTCTGCTTTAATTCTGACCCTTCTCTTCTCATTCAAAAATGGCCAGTTAAATTAACAGACTACCTCTAATAAAGTAATCTTCATTGCCCCAGAGGAACCTCAGATGACCTGCAAGAACCCTGGAAGTGACATTTAGAAGGAATCACTGTCTTCCTCCATGTTCTCTGGAATTCCTGAAAAGGATAAAGATTTAAGCCTCTCACAGATCTGACTTCATGATTTCAAGATGACTTCTGTACACTCACCATTGACTGACTGACTCTACCCTTCCCCAACAACTCTTAGAGTGTTAGTACATCTCTTTCCATTCAGCAATTCATCTCAAACACCTAGTGCCAAGAAATTTACACTACAGACCAAGAAAATTCATTAGTTACAAAATGGACACTTAACCATCAGTGGGAAGACAGGCACATTTAATCATGTAATCATGAAGGAAACAAATAGGATGAGCTAATAATTAAGAGGAGGTTCCAGTTTAGGGTGTTGAGGGAAGAATTCCTTGAGGAAATGATAAGACCTGAAGGTTGAGAAGGAAATAGTTATGCAAAAAGCATGAGGAAAATTGTTCTAGATGGAAAAAAATATGTGCAATGGCTCTGAGGCAGGAAACAGTGTATTGGGGAAATTTTTTTAAACAAATAAAGGAGGCCAGCATACTTGAGTTCCAGAAGGTCATTTGCCAATGAGCTGAATAAACAAATTGCTGATGGATTTGATAGGAGGTCTAAAACAAAAATAAGTCAAATATGACTCCATGGTTTGTAGCTTAAGCAACTGAATGGATAATGGTGCCATTTACTGAAATGGGTAAAATTAGTGAATAAATACATTTAGTGTTAGAGGAACCAAGAGTTCTGTTTTGGACACTTATTAAGTATGGAAAACTTGTGAATGATCCAGGAAATCAAGTAGGCATTTTGATGTAAATATAGAGCTCAGAGAGGTCTGCAGGACTTTTAAAATGTGAGAGTCATGAAGTGTCCTTGCAAGAGCAGTTTTAATGTAACAGCGGAGGCCAAAAGTAGACTGTAGTCAGTTGAAGAAGAAAGAAGAGGGATAAATAAAAATTATCTCTGAGGAGGAAAGGAGGACCAACAGAGTTGACATCAGGGATTGTGAGAGAAAACTGAAGTTGCAGACACCAAGTGATTTGCTACTGTCACTTGGCAATGCAGACACCAAGTGATTTGCTACTGTCACTTGGTAATGACTGCTAAATATAAAAACTCCAGAGATACATCCTTATATACATAACAATACAGACTTCTAGCCTGTCCAGCCCAGAGCACCTAAGAATATGTTTATGTACTAAACTGAATTAAATCCATTGCTAGAAATCACATTTCTGACATGAGGCTAGAATGGGGAAAAAGTTGTACTTACAAATTTTGTAAGTTTTTTATTCACAAATGCAAAAAAAATCAGGTCAAGGACTTTCTCTGTAACCCTGCCCCACAATATAGGGTTAGGTGTGAACATGATGCTCTAGTAAGCGCCACACTTCCCCATCATGAAAACGTTGTTGTTGTTAGGTGCTGTCAAGTTGGCTCCAACTCATAGCGACCCCTGTGTACAACAGACAGTGCACTGCCTAGGCCTGGGCCAGCCTCACAATCCTGCTATACTGGAGCCCACTGTTGCAGCCACTGTGTCAATCCATCTCGTTGAGGGTCTTCCCCATTTTTGCTGACCCTCCATTTTACCAAGCATCATACCCTTCTCCAGGGAATGGTCCCTTGTGACAACATGACCAAAGCACATGAGACAAAGTTTAGCCATTCTCACTTCCAAGGAACATTCTGGCTGCACTTCTCCCAGGACAGATTTGTTTTTCTGGGAAAAAAAATAGTAGCTAATACTTTCCAAGAGTTTGTCAGACCCTCTCACCTAATACCCACCTCAACCCTACCTCATGAGAGGTAGAAACTGTTACCTCATTAGTTAGGAAGGATTAAGTAACAGGCCGAGAGTCATATTAAATGATCAGTTTGAGATTGAACCTGACTTTGGAGTCTGACTCCAAAGCACTAAGGTTAAACACTTAACTGCTATCCAGATGGTCTCCATTAGGCAACAAACTCTGTGAGAAAGGGGCTGGTTGAATCTTTTTCATCATTATATCCTAGCTTTTGGCTCATGCTTAGAACCTAATAGCAGTTCAAGTATTTCCAGAATGAGTCCCACTTCAGATTTAACTAAAAATATGCCTATTCCCAAACCTGCATGAAGGTGTAAGACACTGACAGCTTACAGATGGCAAGTTAGGGCAGAGGGAAATTCTCTTCCATCCTTAGACAAAATAAGCAGTCACAGAGCAGACACATTGCTAGAATTAAACATTTTGTTCCAGAAAAGGAGGCTATGCCATCAACCCTGTTTCACTCTGATTGGAGCTAAGTTTCCCTCCTTATTGCCTCCTTATCCAGTATCTCCTAGTTACAAAGGCCTCAAGAAGACTGGGGAGATGAGGTGGCAGAGACAAATTAGACAATGAAAGCTTACAGATGGCAAGTTAGGGCAGAGGGAAATTCTCTTTTTTGCAAAGTGATCAAGTTGTAAATAATTTCTTACAGGATCATCATAAGGTGCACTCCCAGGCAAGTGTTTCAAATATAACACAGGTTTCCCTCCTTCCACCAGTTTAACCACTTCAATGAAAACATTCATGTGAAGCTCCTACTTTATGGACCTCAAACACTCCCTAACCTAGCACCCATCCATAATGCTCTCATTCCCACTAAGGCTCCCTAGGGAAAACTTGATACGGCACAGATTCAGCAAATTCTAACATGGACTTGGGTTTCACGGAACAGAAAGGATGTTTTCTTCTCTAGAGTGATGTCTCCTTCAGGGCTGCTCAGTTGTTTAACAACTGAGGATACTTCTGTAGGCTGGTTGTCAGTCTCTGGTTTGCCATACTGACATACCTAAACATGAAAACAAACAAAATAGTAACTACTCACTTTTGTTCTTTCAGCTCCTTTGAAGATTATGAGACAGATGAACCTGTCCCTCCCTCTGAATTTGGAAACAAAGGCAATAAAACAGTAACCTCAAACCTTTCAGAGAAATGTGGAAAGCTTCAGTCAGTGGATGAAGAGTAGCTGCCAATGTCTACTACATGAAAGGGAGACATATTTAAATGTTTTTTCTTGTGAAGAAATGCTCTAGTTTGTAAACTGCTTTCTAAAGGCTTTGATTTCTGCAAGTGTGTGTCTGCACTAGGAACCTTAACGTGCTTTTAAGCAATAGGTCTGGATACACACTCAACTTGGGAGACTCCTCCAGTTTGCATCAAACCTCTTGCAGAGCTTTTCCTCGGAAGCAAATATAATCATGTACGTCACCTTCCAAAGTCTGAGTATCAGCACTCTACAGCCCTGAATATACCAGGGATCTCCTGGCAGCAGTGCCAAGCAGTGTTCACTTAACAGAAGCAGGAGCTTGATCAGCACTGGTAAGCGTCCCCGAGGCCCCTCAGGGCTCTATGGCTCCTAGAAAAACCTTCACTTGCAGAAAACTTGAGTCAAAAAATTCTAAAACTTGAAAGAGCAGTTATGGGCCTCCAGAACTGACTTAGCCCTGGTAATAAAAGCACTGCCAAACATCTCAGAGACTTCTTTCAATTATATATACTGTAGTTTAAAGATCTTGAACTTACCAGTTTAATTTCACAATGACCTGCCAAGCTACAAGTCACTTTACATCCTCAGGTATTGTAACCACTGGGCCTTCCATCCTTGCTGACAAGGTCTGAAAAATCCCTCCCCAGTCTTGACTGTGGATCTCATATGAAAAAACTTCTTCAATGAAGTCAAGTACAGAATTTGGTTCACACTTGCGGGGAGGAGGAGTCCTTTGAATTGTCTAACATTTGTAGAGAACTATTTAATGAATGATTTCTTAATTTCCAGATTAGTTGATGATCTGTCTATTCCTATCAGAAGGCCTACTTGAAGGCTTAATGAATACTGATATATGAAAATTCTTACTGAACATACTCCTTTCTTCACTAACTATTACAGACTAGGCTGATAGTAAAATCCTGTGTAAACATTGTTCCTTACTTCATGTTGAAAAGGTATTCTCTCCACCTCAATACTGACCACAGAAATGGAAGAAAAATGGTGATGGCACCTATAAAGGAAAACTATTTCATGTTTACTATACTAGTAGGCGTGTTCATTAAAAAATCCCACACTTTAGGGAAATTTTGCTGTCAAATCCTACAATGTCCTTGAAAATAAAATTGAAAAGAAACAAAGATGGAAATTTCTGATAGTGTAAAAGAAACCTCAAAGCAACTTTTTAATATCCTACTCATCAATCTTTCTTCGGTTTTTTAACTAAGTCCTAAAAGTATCAGAATAGCTTCCCAACAGCACCACCTTGATTCCCTTGCTGGTTTGAAAGCCAAGCCTAATCAAATCTTGGGCTATGGTGGGCAAAAAATGAAGAAAATGAAAATTCACAACTAGTATAGTCATAGTGTTACTGATGCTTTCTGGTACAAGATCCTCCTGTTATTTTATCTTCCATTAGAATTAATCATGTTTAATTGAAACTGTTACAGAAAGTGGTAACTTGAAAGTATATAATAGTTTATGTAAAAGAACTGAAAATAAGTAAATTTTAAAAAACACTACACACAATAACCTAAAAACCATGATAAATCATTAGAATTAAGATTACTTATGTGTTAACATAAACCTACCATCCACCCTTTACCAGAGAACGAAAGCAAGTATTTGTTTTTATTTCAGATAAAAATATAAGGTCACATTGGCTTTTTTAAGAAGCAAAATACGCTTAAAGGTGTTATTATCCATAATGATCTAAGACTCAGCAAAAAGTAAAATTCAATTTTCATATATATTTATGTATTTTTATTATTTTTTAACTATGTGGGTTTATCTTTTTACCATACTTCTTCTTACTAAATACATCTTGCTTTCATTTGGATCCATACTTGATTTTTTTTTTTTTAATTCTGTAATTGTAAAAGCACAGCTATCAGTACTGTTCCATTTAAGATAAGGCTGGTTTTCAGTAAATTTCTGTTACCCAAAGTACCACATTTTGAAGACATGTTTCATGTATTCTTTTCTTAGAACTGAATGCAAGGAATGTGAATTGAGGAACTAGGGTAGTATACTGTTGTTTGACTGTCTGGTAAAGATCATGCTGTATATAAATAATCACTGACAAACTGGAAATTTCAACTTGTTCCAATATCCCAGGCCCCTTGATAAAACATTCATTGAAGGTTTCGTGATCTTAACACTGTTAAATGAAATAAGTTTCATAGCGTATTAATTGCCAAGGTAATCAAATGAAATAGAATTCTGTGTATTCTCCCTGCATTTTATTCTGTTATTACCATGTACTGTTCAAAGTGATTATAAATCTAGATCAAATGAGAAGTCATTTGCTCAGCTTTTGGAAATGTTGAGGTTTGAATGGAGAAGACTGCATGACTTAACGTTTGTTTATCCCTTTTTGCAAAACTAAATAAAGACATTGTCAAATATGAATGTTAACCCTTTCAAGACCAAATTATTTTCTGCTTTGAATTTTTTGTTGAAAGCATGTGTTTTCAGCACTGGAAGGCATTTTGAATGGACTGGAAAAAAACAATTGAGGTAGTATGAATTTTGGCACAATCAAGTGGGACACATGTTCCAAAGAGGCTGTGATGCTGCATTGCTGGGATGAGGCCTATTTCATCAGATTCAGTTATGCAGGCCCCCAACAGATTGCAGCACACATTAAAAGTGGGATAGGAGTGTCCCACAAACTTAAGGCTGAAAATATAAGTGGGCATTATGTCTGATGGGTCATGAAACCACTAACTGGAATACTCACTACACACTCTTGGTTTGATCACACTTGTAACTCATTTTTATTGTTTAAAAAGTTAACACTGTAAAAAAGCCCGTGCTTAAGATAACTCTGAACATCTTGAAATACTGTAAGGTCTGGAAGGGTGTTATAGAAGTGTGTTATAGATTGAACTGTGTCCCTCCGAAAAAAGATAAGTGTTCAGTCCTAGCCTCTAAAACTGTGGTTATAATCTAAGTTGGGAATGGGTTGTCTTTGTTAATAGGATTAGCACAGGGTGGGTCTTGAGTTGCTCTCTTTTGAGATAGGAAATTAAGCTAGCTTATCAGGGATGGAAGAGTGATGCCAAGCCACATGGAGATCTCCAAGGTACCAGGAAACAGAAGCTGAATAGACAAGGACCGTCCCTCAGAGCTGACAGAGAAAACCTTCCCCTAGAGCCTGTGCCCTGAGTTCTGACTTCTAGCCTCCTTAAAGGTGCTCTAGTGGTATAGTGGTTAAGGTATTTGGCTGCTAACCAAAAGGTTAGTGGTTCGAACCCAGCAGTCACTCCGAAGAAAGGTGAGGCAGCAGTCTGCTTCCATAAAGATTTACAGCCTTGGAAACCCATAGGGGTTTGGAACTGACTTGATGGCAGAGTGTTTGAGTGGTTTTTTTTTTTTTTTTAGCTGCCTTAACAGAATAAATTTGTTAAAGCCGTCTACTTGTGGTATTTGTTATAGCAGTACTAGATGACTAGTTAATTAGATAACCAGGGCTCCTAGACAACTTAAGAACTAAGTACTGAGAAGTGGGGGTGCTTCTCTAACAAATACTAACGCGTGCTTTTGGAAATCGGTTAATGAGCGGGGGATGGAAAAGTTTTAAGGGGACTAAATATAAAAGCCTAGATTACCTTGAAGGGACTGTTGGTAGAATTATAGGTATCAAAGACAATTCTGGTGAGGGCTGAGACGGAAATAAGGAGAGCCACAGAGAAAAGCTCGTCATCTTCGAGAATACACATGGCATCAGCAACAGAAAGCTGATAAAAATTTGGGTATCAGAATGTGTCATTGAGCCCGTGGGCCTGTTCACAGAGGACATCAAGCTCAACTGGAATTAACATACTACACAAAAACAGTTCTGCGTCCTACCATGGCAACTTATGACTAGAGCCTGAAAAGCTTGCAAGTGGCCATCTAAGATGCAACTACTGGTCTCTCCTTGTCCACAGCAAGTAAGAGTGAAGAAAATCAAAGACACTTGGAAACAATTAGTCCAAGGGACTAGTGGACCATGCCAACTTCAGCTTACATGACCCTTAAACCAGAACTAGATGATGCCCAGCTACCACTGCCAACCACTGCAAAAGGGATCAAAATTAAAGGTCCTGGATAGGGGGGAAAAAAAAAACCTCAGTGCCTTCGAGTCAGATCCGACTCACAGCGACCCCTCCTTGGGTTTCTGAGGCGGTATCACTATGGAAGTAAATTGCCCAACCTTCCTTCCAAGGAGTGGCCGGTAAGTTTGAACTGCCAGCCTTCTGGTTAGCACTCAAATGCCTTAGGCACTACGCCACCAGAGCTCCCATCCTGGATAGAGTGGAAGAAAAATGTGGAACAAACCCAAAATCATAAAAAAGACCAGGCTTATTGATCTGACAGACCGGTGAAACCCCCAAGACTATGGCCCCTAGTCAACCTTTGGGCCTGAAATTTGACCTCACTCCCATGTCTTCAAGCCAGAGATAATGGACGGGCCCATAAGGTGAACAATTACACCACGGAGGTACACTCCTTAACAATCAACCGTGGAAGATCAAACCAAACCAAACCAACTGCTGTACAGTGGTTTCTGACTCATAGTGACCCCTCCTTGAGTTTCCAAAGCAGTATCACTACTGAAGTAGATTGCCCAACCTTTCTTCCGAAAAGTGGCTGGTGGGTTTGAACCGCTGGCCTTCTGGTTAGCAGTCAAATGCCTTAGGCACTATGCTACAATATTTGCATAGAAAAATAGCTCACAGGGCAAGAGTGCACAGGAAAGGACAACACAGGCAAAAGGTGTTATCACAGGGAGGTAGTGGGAAGAGAGATGTCCCAACATGAGGACTGCAACCAATGTCATGAAACAAAATGTCTATGAACTGTTGAATGGAGAACAAATTTGCTCTGTAAATTTTACCTTAATCACAAAGAACTTGTCTGAATTATGTTCAAATATCTAGTGAAATAAAAAATTTGTATAAGTGAGGAACTCAGACATTATTCACCTGAGGAGATTTCTAAGCAAGATCTTAATTGGGCTGTATGACTTCTTGCTGCTTAGAGTAAAACATGAGGGGAAAAAAGGCAGACTTAAAAATGAACTGTGCAAAATTTAAAGATCTGAAAAATTCTGTTTTATAAACTAAGGATACATGTCCTGCAATTTTTACCAAAGACTTGGCTACACGTGTTTTGTTAAAGAAATTAAGCCTGTGACTGATGGACCTAACCAAGTACCACAGCAGAAAAATGATCAGTTTAGTCTGAAAGGAAAGAATAGTGCCTGCCTCTTGGAATTCTACAGGCAGGAAACAAACCAAAGGATCTTTTGTCTTCCAAGTAAAGGACACAGTCCCTAGAGCAGCTCAAGATCAACAGAACTGTTGGATGGAGCACAGGAAACAGAACATCCTAGGTTTCAAAGCCAGAACTCTTGCCAACTTGATTCCAGGAGCAGGGGGCTGCCACTAAGGTGTGCCGGGGGATGAGGCCATGGCCCCAGCTTTAGGGTAGTGGGGCCATCACGCCCAAGGGGCAGAACAAAGCCTGCTAGGGCTGAGGGGATGGGGTGGCCACTCAAATGAACCAAGAGAATTGAGCTGCCTAAAGCTCATGGAGCAGAGTTGCCACCCCAGAGGACCTGGAAGACAGAGCTAAAGCCAAGGGCCAAGAGGTCTCTACCCAGAATCCCAGAGGGTACGACCAACACTCAGTGTCTGGAGAGCAGGGCCCATCACCTAGATGGTCTCAGAGAAGAAGAGGACCATTTTCAAGTCTTAACAGCTAATGTAAATTATTCTGCTTGGTCTTAGACTTTGTTTGGTACCTGATATTCCTTCTTTCCCTCTAATTTCTGATTTGTAATGGAAATGCCAGGAGCTTTGGTAGCATAGTGCCTAAGGCACTTGACTGCTAACCAGCTTCCTTGGAAGGAAGATGGGGCAATCTACTTCCATAGTGATACTGCCTCGGAAACCCAAGGAGGGATCACTATGAGTCGGATATGACTCAACAGCACATAACAACATCTTGTGCCTGTTCCACCATAGTACTCAAAGTAAGTAACCTGTATTCTAGATCTCACAGGTTTATAGATTATGAATTTTGCCTCAGGGTGGAATATACCCAAAGTCTCACACATACTTGATTTTTAAATGATTCAGGAAATGAGACTTTGAACCCGGGATTAAGTTCTGGGATGATGTTATAAGTAAATGTATTTCACATGTAGGAAGGACATAAATTTTGGAGAGCCAAAGGGTAGAGTGTTATGAATTGTGTTCCCAAAAAATGTGTTGTAAACCCTAGGCTCTATGCTTGTGGTTATTATCCCACCTGGAAATGGGTTCTTTGTTATGTTAATGAGACAGTATTAGTGTAGGATTTCTCTTTAATCAATATCTTCAGATGTAAAAGACATTAAGCAAGCAAGCTAGTAAGCAAAGAAGGGGAATTCTAATGTCAAGCCATACAGAGATATCCAAGGAACCAGGAAAATAAGGTGAAGAGACAAGGGCCTTCCCCTAGAGCCGGCACCCTGCATTCAGACTTCTAGTCTCCTAAACTGTGAAAACCATAAATTTCTCTTTGTTAAAGCCATCCACTTGTAGTATTTCTGTTACAGCAGATTAACACCTCACACTGAGTCATATTCTGATAGGGAAGAGGACCAATCATTTTCTGATAGTATACATGTAAGAGGTTCAAAGAGGGCTTTAGCCTCATCTAGAATGTAGTTTTTAAACAGAATGTTTGTCATTTGGGTAAACAAGGAACTTTTAAAAAGCAGGAAGGAAAATATAAAATGCATTCAAATATTAGATTTAGAGACTGTATTTTAAACTTCTGGGGGGAAGAAAAAAAAACAAACTCACTGCCATTGAGTTGATTTCAACTCACAGCAATCTCCTTTGGGTTTCCAAGGTAGTAAATCTTTACGCAAGTAGATTGCCCAGTCTTCCTTCCATGGAGTGGCTGGTGGGTTTGAACCGCCAACCATCTGGTTAGCAGTCAGATGCCTTAGGCACTACTCCACACGAGAGCTTATTGTGAACTTGGCATTTTATAAAACATTTGTTACCTATGGTATGGAAAAGGACAATTTTATTTTTTATCTGATCATAAAACTCTTACTTTTCTTCAGCAAGATCATTATGGGATTGTTTTAAGAGCCAAAACACAATGAAATAAATTCTTTATCATAGGACCATACTATACCCCAGCATAGAAATGTAGACTTAATAAAGCTAACCAAAATGACAAACTGTCTGCTCTAAAGTTTCTCTTACCTAACCTAAGGAGAAAAATCATTTGTAATAACAAGGACCCAAGAGAACACCAAAGAAAGATGTGTCATACTAAATACGGTTAATGTTTGGTGGTTTCAAATCCTCATAAAGTAAATCCAGTTACTTCAATAATTATTTCTCAATCACGCCTAATTAGTCATTGGTCAGTATTCCCAGATAACTCATGGTATAAAGAAAAATGATGTAAAAATCAAGGCACTATAATTACTCTCCCCCAAATGTACAAAGCAGACCACTCAAAGCATGCTATCCCAAACTCCTCAGTATTCTACAACATAGAATTAGAAAACTAACATTTATTGGTAGATTTAAGGTGTAATACAGGTTTCCAAAAATGTGGCAGTGAGAATACCAGCATAAAAAAGAGAAACTTGTGCTAAAAACAACCTGAATTCATCATTGGCAATATTACATAACAATCAAGGCCCTTACATACTAATGATTTCCACTTTTCTGTATTGCCAACCTCCCATGCATTAAAAACACAAAACTAGTATTATCAAACTTGGGAAGCAATAAAGTACTTTATGAATTTTAAGATCATAATATTAGGAATTTTGGGAGATTTGCAAAATATATCCTAATCACCCATGTATACAATCTCATTTCTAGTCATTTTTGCAGTGATCATTAATGAGTAAAGAACAGATTTACAAGTTTATATAGCAGGGCATCTGGGTTCAACACAAAATTATTACAAACTTTAGGCAAATACATGTTTCATAAGACACTGCTAACACTTAAAGGAATTAAATAAAATTCCAAAACTTGGAAAGCAAATAAAGACAAGACAACTAAGAAGCATTTTCCACCATTTACTCTTGTTATCAAAAATAGTTCAACTCTTCTTGCAAAACAAAAACAAAATAGTACATACTGGACACATACATCACATTTTTCTTCCTATGGCTTTAGCCCACCCCCACCCCACCAAGAGAGACAAAGAAGAAAATAAAAAATTAAAATAAAAAAAATTAAAAAAAAAAAAAAACCAACAACAACAAAAACAATTCTACCTGACCACACTCACAGAAAATGACACCAGGATACACTATAAAACAGAAGGAGGTGTCATCTGCTCTGTGTCCAAGTTTCTTTCCCATTTCTTGTACTAGATGAATAACCATCATTGAACATGCTGTGTGCCGAATCAAAAACATTACTTCAGCATATGTCAGATCTCACTAGAGATGGTGAACGTAGTAGAAATTGGAAATTTTCCAGCAGTATTTTTAAGTAAGCACTGTCAAAGCAGCAACTCTAAATTCATCAGGTCACTGCTTTACAACCTAGTCAGTCCTTGTTTTATTTGGGCTGTGCTCTTGAAGCAACTGACTAGATTTTCCTTCAACAGAATGTTTGTGACTCATTTGCCTTCCCCATAAAAATTAAAGGGAAGAAGTACATTTAAACTGAAACATACTTTGTGCTTTACATGCAAATGAGCATTCTAAAGAAAATCCCCTTAACTTCAAACCTACCTAAATGTACAGGCTTCATAAAAAGGCATTTTATTAGGCTTCTATAAAAAAGCCTTCATAATGAATAGCACCCTTTAAAAACAAAACAAAACAAAAGGAGCATATTCAAAATAAAATCTGTGGCAAATAAACTACTAAAGGAAACAAAAATCAAAGAAGTGGCCAATGGCAGTAAGTATAATGCATGAATCTGGGTTAAGTTTGGGGCATTATTCCAAAATTATTTTAAAGAAATTCAATTTCTAAGTAAAACATTTTTATAACTGTTTAAAATTCTGTCACATGCTATACAGTCCAAATTCAATCACATTCCGAATAAAACTGCTTTTCTCTACTTCATTTATCCAATTAGAACACTGTTCAAAATGAAGGAAGGATTTCAAATTTTTCCTAGAAATGAATCAGACTTAACTTAAAAAGGGGGGGGGGCCTCAACTCAGAAGAGTTTTGAGGCATAAAAGCTAAACATCCACAGTCTGACAGAATTTCAGTTCGTTCACTTTTCTAAAAGATTCTTAAACATTCTAATGAGAGGCAAATTTTCTTTCATAATACTGCTGATTGAAGAACTGCTACATACACCACGTAGCCAATTTTCATGATCAGAAATGGTATTATGTCAGCACAAAGGTTGAGCTGGACACATCAGCTTTTCAACAAGAGAACTATCAATGGCATCTGAAGCCAGCACTGAGTCTCCTGAACAAACTAATGGCTACTTTCCAAAATAAAATAAAATAAGCACAATCTTTATGGACTGACTAAATACCACTTCCTTACATTTAATCATAAACTTTGATTATGCACAAAGCATGACCATAAACAATGAGGTTAATGTTATTTTCCTTGCCAAAGTTCATTTTGTATAAATCAATTGCATCAGCTTTTGTTCTCAAACTATGAGGTTCTGTAAGAACTAAGGACATATAGTTGTAGGGTTACTCCTCCATTATCTGCAAACTATTTCCCCGACACTAACACATATAACTTAGCAATGAAAACACTTGATACAAGTGATCTATATGCAGGAGCTCCGGCAAGTCAAACCAACAGAACCATAGCTGCCGTAAAACTGTAGCTATTTTCCTACCAGAGGTAGGTCTAAAGACCCACTGATTTAACAGTCGAATCTCATGTCTATAGCTTCATCCAAACTTTTATCATCATGTGTACTGGCAGCTAAAAACGTCGTTACTGGGGACCCTGTGACATTAATTACACTGGTGCTTGTACTAGCATTGCGCACAGCAATACTAGTCACATTAATGCCCAAAGTAAGCCTGGTCTGCTCCAAGGCCTTTTCTGGCACAGCAAATGCCTCCAGCTTCTTCTCTCCATTGGCCATATATGAGTTTTGGCAGCCACGACATATACAATCCAAGCAGGCTTTGCGGTTAGAGTAACAAGGGCAGCGTTGACCGCGGCAAGTAAGAACACTTGGATTTTGAGTAGCACGCCCACATTTACACCCTTTCTTTTCCTGGGGTTTTTTGTACACAGTCTTGGTAGGACTTCCTGGCATAAAATGATGACTAGGAATCTTTTCCTTTACTGCTTTGTCTTTTTTTAGAATACCTGACTTGGTTTTAGAATGAGATTTCTTGGATCCATGTTCATGACTCTTTTTCATGCTTTTAGTAGATAAAAGTACAGTTTTACTGATTTTGGGTGTCGTGCCCCCATTGGGAACAGTTGCTATCGGCTGAAGAGAGATTTTGCTCTCTCGTTTCACTGTCACAGGAGCAGATGCCCCCAATGTTGGGCCTCGAATAATGGTAGAAATTGGAAGTGGCTGAACTTTCTCACTGTCACTTTCTGATCTGGATCTTTTTCTATTCAATTTTGCTACCTTCGGAGTTGCTGCTGTACATGATAACCCATGAAGTGCAGGACTGGTGGACATGAAAACATTATGGCTAAGAGACTGGGAAGAGAGCTGCAGAAAAGGTCCATTGGATACAGTGGCTTCCAAGTTGGGCTGCAAGTTAGGGCAACAAACTTCTGTATTTGAAACAGTTTCTAAGCTGCGGAGTACTTCTTCAACACTCAGTAACAGAGAGTCACCAGGTTTTATATCTTCACTGAAACTGCAGATATCAATCCCTGTGGAGCACAGGTCAGTGGCTACCGGGTCACAGACAGGTGGCAGGCTATCAGACAGATCCTCAGTTTTTATGTCAACAGTGTTACATACATCAATTGTATTTGAATGTTCAGGTGAAGGAATATTTATACCAAATCTATCTATTGAAAGCCCATTATAAGTAGGCAAACCATTGATAACAGAACTGCCAATAGCAATGCTGAGGGTGCTTTCAGATATTGGAGATAAACTAGCTTGAGGATCAGCCGTAGGTTCTGAGGTCGAAGGTAAAGGGGAATGTGTCAAACACAAAGTAAAGGATGAATCTGAGGGTTTTTCTGTCTCCTCACAAAACAATGATCCATCATTAAGCAAAGCCAAAATATCAGAAGAGCAGTCGACTGCTTCTATTATATCCCGTGCCAATGTAGTCTGTGTTATATATTCACATAGTTTTTTGTAGCAATTCACTAGGATGCTTAACTGCTTGTTTTCCTCAAACTGTTCATAGTCTTTGCACCAGCTACATGAAGGTTTCATCATCATTTTCTTGCCTTTACAAGTTTTGCAGACATAGTGTTGGCAGGTGGAGTTGGTGGGTGCAATAGGATCTTGTAGCAAATGTCCTAAGGGGGGAAAAAAGGAGGAAAGCAAAAATTTTAGTAAAATAAATATACACTTTCATATACTGGAATTAAGATGTGATTATAAGTAATCTGTCAAAATTCAGACTGGTCAGGAGGGAACACAGAAAAAAAAAAAAAAAGTATTGACCTATGTCACTTTAGTTTTGTGTATTTCACTGTACATAAATTATATTTCAATAAAATGTATTTAAAAAAAATTCAGAGTGATTAAACTCACCAGACGACAAGAAAAAAAAAAAAAAATCCTCAATAGCTCCCTTCATTTCCATACCATAGTCCCCATTCCTTTATCTCAAATACTGGGAATCTACAGTATTCTGGTCTGGGGCTGCCCCATTCTCTACTTCCCTAGCTCCATCAGTTTCACTCTATGAGGACTCACAGCTGCTGAGGTAGAAGAGGGCTCACTCCTTAGCATGCAGTAACTTAAACATTCACCTTAACAAAAAAGAACAAACTAAAGCAAACTAAACAGTAAGAAGGAAATATTATAGAGCAGAAATCAATAAAAGAAGAAACAGAAAAACCAAAGAGATGAACAAAAAAAAAAAAAAACTTTGTTCTTTAAAAATACCAAAAACTTAAATGGAAAGGTGAGCAAGAGGTACAGACAACAAAGGTAAGTATTTTTACAAACACAATACTGCAGTATCCATAATAACAAACAATAATATATGGATGGATAGATACATAGGTAGACAAGCAAAATGATCAGGTATGGGTAAGTGAAAGGGTATACTCATGACCACATATGTTTGATAGATGCTATTTCTACATACATATTTGTATGTGCTGTGAGAATGTCCATGTATATAACAGAGTTAACAGGTAGAAAACTTATGCTAACTTCTCAGTCACAGCCAAACACCTTAAGGGAATGAGTCACTGGGCCATGGACTTGGGACCATGGTCATGGGGGACATCAAGCTCAACTGGCATAACATGGTACACAAAAACATTGTTCTACATTCTCCCTTGGTGAGTAGTAAAACTGGGGTCTTAAAAGCTTACAAGCAGCCATCTAAGATGCAGCTATTGTCTCTCCTTGTCCCAGCAAACAAAAATGAAAAGTATCAAAGACTCACAGAAACAATTAGTACAAGGAACTAGTGGACCATAAGCAGCACCTCAGCCTATGTGACCCTGAGACCAGAATTAGATGGTGCGCAGCTACAACTCAGAAAGGGCTCAAAATTGGAGGTCTGGATAGAGTGGAAAAAACATGTGGAACAAAATTCAGTGTTAAAAAAAAAAGGCCTTCCAGTAAGATGGAAGAACAGGCAGACAAGCTACACAGACCCTCCTCAACAAAGGAAAGAGAAACCAATTTGACAGAGATACAGAAGATAGTCCTGGAGCCCTGAACTTTGAAAGGAAGTATACAAAAGTGGATTAGGCACCAACTAGTGAAAAACCTGAATGGAAGCAGGACCTAAGAATAGGCTCTGTTTGCCAAGGACGGCAGGGACATACAGGAAGCTGACAACAGGAAAGAAGACAGGTGGTGAGGATTTAAGTGCTGCCAATTAGCAAACAGGAGCACAGTACCTTGCTTACTTACATAAAATCCAAAGAAAACAGAACTTGTAGGCAAATCACTTCAACATAATAACAAACAATTAAATATAAACACATAAATGTCATAATTTAGCCTGGGAGACAACAGAGCATTACAGTGCACACAAAGAAGCAAGATAAAGCAGGAGAAACAAGGGACCAGGATACAGACCCAAAACACATCCCCGAGGAAGACACAGCATTGGAACTCCCTGATAAGGAATTCAAAAGAATTGTATTTAGGAATCTTCAACAAATGAAAGACAGATCAAGGAAAACACTGACAAAATTGAGGAAGAAAACCCTAGAACAATTACAAAAGACAATATAAGAACAAAATGACAAAATAAATGAAAAATTAGAAATGATACAAACTCTACACATAGAAATCCAAAGATTAATACTAAATTTTCAGAAATAGATAACACACTGAATGGACAAAGGAGTGGAACTGAATCAATGGAAGACAGAATTAGTGAGATTAAAGGCAAGTATCTCAATATGTCTTTAGAAACCAATCAATGAGAAAAAAGATGAACACAAAATGAAGAAAGCCTGTGAGATACCATCAAAATTAATAACCTACGTGTAATCAGAATTTCAGAATAGGAAGGGACAAATAAAACCACAGAAAAAACTGTCAAAGATTTGCTGGAAGACAATTTTTCTGGTATGATAAAAAATAAGAATATATCTATTTGAGAAATCTGACAAACCCCAAACAGGATAGACCCCAAAAGAAAATCACCAAGAGATATCATCATCAAACTCACCAAAACCAAAGACAAAGAAAGAATCCTGACAGGAGCACAGAAAAAATGAAAAGTTACCTACAAGGGGCAACCAGTAAGACTAACCTCAGATTTCTCAGCAGAAACCATCCAGGAGAGAAGACACCAGGATGGTATATATAAAACCTTGAAAGAGAAAAACTTCCAACCAAGAATTATGTACCCAGCAAAACTGTCCCTCAAATATGATGGTGAAATTAAAATGAGTACATTTCCAGATAAGTAGAAACTAAGGGAATCTGTTAAAACCAGACCAACCTTACCAGAGATGCTAAAGGGAGCCCTTTGGACAGAGAAGCAACAACAGTCAACAACTGACCATAACACACATGATGATATAACCCAGAAACCAAGCCAGCTATGGAAGTATCCCAAGTGAGTAAGCCTACAAGATTGTAAACAGGGAACCAGAGGCATCAATTGACAAATGAAGACAACTACAAGCCAAAAAGAGGGAAATTAACTGTGTTATTATAGAACTTCTAAATGGTAGGAAAGTCGAGACAACTACAAGATAGAACAGACTGTTCTAAACTTGCGAAGAAAACTATAAATCACGGGGTAACTTCAAAGAAAATTGATAAACCTTCACATCAAAATGAAAAATGAGGACCAGCACAAATATTTAGCAACTACCAGAACAACAGCAACGAAGGATGTGATAATATGATTCATAAACAAAACAAGCTCAGCATAGAAAATTATATGGCACAAAGAATCTATACCACGAAAAAGCACAGTAACAAAAATGACAGCAACATATTCATACTTGTTGATAATTACATATCTGGCAAGGGACTTATCTCTAAGATTCATAGAAAACTCCAATGCCTCAAAAGCAAAGGAATTAACAATCCAATTGAAAAATGGGCAGAAGACATGAATAAACACTTCACCAAGGAGGATATTCAGGTGGCAGCAAATACATGAAGAGATGCTCATAATCACTGGCCATCAGAGAGATGGAAATCAAAACAACAATGAGATACCACCTCACCCCAGCACTGATGGCAAGGTTCAATGAGACAGAAAATAATAAATGCTGGTGGCGATGTGAAGAGATTGGGACTCTCATACACTGCTGGTGGGACTGTGAAGTGATACAACCACTGTGGAAAGCAGTATGGCAATTCCTTAGAAAGCTGGAATTGGCGATACCATTTGACCCAGCAATCCCATTACAAGGTATATATCCTAGAGAGGCGAGAGCCAGGACAGGTGAGGTGTAGTAAATTACTTCGTGTGGCTTTTCTAGCCGTAAGTCTTTATAAACTCTATGGTGGAATTTGCTGCGAGCAACTGAGGAGCTCCTGATTGTAAAAGTTATCCACCAGGGGTATTTCTGCTGGGCACAACACAAAGCAATGTTCTAGGAGGTTTCTGCTCTCTCTCAGGTGCTTAGAATTCTGATGCTATGATTGGTTAGTCTGGCCACTCTGCCAGGCTCAAAAGGCGGCCTCCTAGAAGTAGAAGTAGTCTCTCTCTGACTGTTGGTTGAGGAAGACACACTCTTGAAAGAGACACGCGCTCCTGGGAGATACGTGCTGCTGGGAAAGAGACGCAAGAGGCACACATTGCTGAGTGGGACACTCACCATTGGAGAGAGACTGTGAGAGACTGTTAGGATAGACTGTGGGCTGGGAGACTGAGCATTTTTCCTGTACTTGAATTGTAGCCTGGTGCTTCCCTAATAAACCCCATAATCTGTGAGTTCTGTGTGGCCTCTGCAGCGAATTATCGAACCCAGAAGAGAGGTGGTGGGTGCTTTGGAACGGCTGGTTAAAGGGCTGGAGGGAGGCAGCATGAGTGGCCTTGCAGGAACAGGCCTTGGGTTACTGATGGTTATCCTGTCTTCCTCTTGTGCGGTTAAAGGAGGTCAGGAGATGTGGCCTCCTTGCCGTTTTTGCAACAGGTATAGATGTATGCACACCCATGGTCATTGCAGCACTATTTACAATACCAAGAAGATGGAAACAACCTATGTGCCCATCAGTGGAAGAGTGGATGACCAAACTAGGGTACAAACACACAGTGGAATGGTATGCAGCACTAAAGAATAATGTAGATGGAAACAACCTAGATGTCCAACAACTGAGGAATGGATAACCAAACTATGGTACATTCACACAATGGAATACTATGCAACGCTAAAGAATAATGTAGAATCTGCAAAACACCGCATAAC